ATTTATTTAAAATTTGTTATATTGAGTGTAATTATTAATTTAAAGAGAATGAAGATTTTTAAGTTAAGTTATGCATGGAGTACTTAAGAGAAAACACTTCAAATTTAGCTGATATAGAAGTAAATTGAAGTATTTGAGTATATTTTAAAACTCTTCAAATTTGATTGTTTTTATGAATTATTAAAATGAGCTCAAATTTATTCATATTTAGTTGAGAAATAAAGAGAAAGGAAGTGAAGGAAAATTATGTTTTTCTATTATCTTTTCTTTTTTTTTTATCTAAATAAATAATTAAAATCTACAGATGGTTGTGAAAAGCAGCAAACATACTAGGTCTATCCATACTCCAATCAAATTTAGCTAAGAACAAAAATGTGAATGGCATTAGAGAGTAAAATAATGGTGAGATTCATTAATAATAAATCCAATACAAAAGCAGAAAGGAAGAAGCAATAAATTATGATAAGAGTGATAGATGCAGCCAATGACTAGCTCAAAGTGCAGGATTATAAAATACAACAAGACATGATTTTCCAGCATTCAAGTTCAGTCAACATTCTTCATTCAATTTCGTATTTCTTGTTTTCCATATAAGCAAACATGTATATTTAACTGATAGAAGAGAAAAATATCAAATCTCATAACACCAAAGAATCTAGGCGAACAGTGAAGTTACTGAAGTATCAAAATTATGCAAAAATTCATGACAATAGGATAATTAAAGTTTCCCAATCTCTTTGGCAATTCGTTCAAAAGCAAACATAACCGTATGTTGGGTAAAATTAGTTTGAATATAAACTAGACCTTCACTTCTTCCGAGTGTTATCAAAGATTTCTCAAAAATACAAATTTAGGCCTTGGATTTCTTCCCTTTGGCCTCAGCAGCTGGTTTGGTCTTGAAAGGCAGAAAGGTTTTCCCACCCATGAATGGACGTAAAGCTTCTGGAATTTCAACACCATCTTCTTTTTGATAATTTTCGAGAATGCAGCACATTGTCCTTTCCGTTGCTGTGAGGGTTGAGTTCAGCAAGTGAACATATTGCTTTGTCTGCTCATTGTTCTGCATTCCTCAAAATAAGTATATGCATCTGAAACAATACTACTAATAACTACGACAAAACATTGGCATGCAATTGAAGGGAAATACCTTATTTGTAAATATGCAGAATACATCTGTTCCCATAGCTTTGTCAAGTTCCTAACAAGAGGTTAAACTGTAGTTAGCAAATAGCAAATGTATCTCAGAAGACAAATTCTCTGAGATCATCAATTTTGAAGAATGCTCACATTAATTGGATCCGGGGACTTATCAATATCACAGATAAGTTTCTGAAGATGTTCATCTTTCAAAGCATCACGAATTTCACTGGAAGAAGCTCCATGAACAGGCATGGCAGATGAAAGATAGAAGGTTCTCAATATGGTCTCTTGTTGAGAACACATGCAAACAGTTTTATCATTCTGACTGGCAGACCACAAAAAAGTACGTTATTCTTACTAGCATTCTTTAGCAGGATGAGATATAAAGCCTTCTAAAATATGAATGGAAGCTGAGCCCATATGAGTCAGCTAATAGGAAATATTACTTCCATATATGAAGAAAAATTATAAACAAATGCCGATGACATTAACAAGAAAAATAGGCTAGCAAGCGAATTATTGGCAAAAAAATGCATGCTAAATGTTGTAACTGAATGGCAATGACATTAACAAGAACAATGAGGCTTGCAAGACAACATGCTTGCTAAAAGTTATCAAATTGTCATTGGACTAGTTTAAAAACCAAAACTCCATAATCATATAGCTTGCTCATTCAGATGTTCTCTTTCTAAGTTTTAATGTTAAATTATATATGCTCAGTAACAAAGCTAGAATCATAAACCTGGCCTACCAGTTACAGGTTTCCCTTTCCTCACAAAGTTACATCTAGTACTCCATATAGCCCTCACCCCTTGCAGACAAGCAGAGAACCAACACAAAGATTTGTGTCATCATTTTTTGTTTCTACTTCTTGGTCTCTAAAATGTTTTCCAACATTTATTTTGTACTTGCTCACAAGAACAAATGCCCTATTGTTACAGAGGTCATAAACCCTTCTCCCCTTCAAGATAGGCAATAATATTATATATGTTACAGGCTAGTTAATAATTATACCTATAGCCTCTAGCTGCAGTTTTGGCAACACCTCACTTGGTCCATCAACATCTACTGGCCTTTCTAACTGAAATTCTGGAACAGCAGCTGAAAAATTGAAACAAACAGAGTAAAGAGCACATTTTGGAGATAGAAAAATTATTTATTCTTAAAGTTTTATTTACATTTTAGTTGCTAATATTGGGTTGTCCAAGATACAATGATATCTAAAGCTCATCCTAAAACTAGAGTCTGTAAAATGACCTCAAGAGCATTTCTTTGCCTAAATTCAAAAAATTGTCACAGCAAAGGGAAGATACTTAGCAGAAGGCTCAATATTCTACAGTAGTTCTGTGAAGCTCTCGACCTACTGCTTCGTTCTCTATCAGTCTCCAACTTTTTCTGTAATTTTAGAGAGGCCAACCACCCTTCCTTCTCCCACATATCATCTTGCAGCCTGGTTTGGGTCAAAAGGTTCTTGACTTGAAAGTGTGAGGTAAAGTAAATGCAAGAAAAAACAAGGGTAGGAACGAATTCCATGCATATGTAAATGCATATGGTTGATTTTATGCTCCACTTTCTCAAACTGATGAACTCGAAAAATTCCAAGAGTATCTCGACCATGTGAACCAGCTTCTTTGCGGAAGCAAGATGAGTACCCAGCATATCTGGGGAAAAGAGTGATCTTCATAAACAAAAGAAAAAGGAGGCTTTATCTAGACATAAAACGCAATTAGTTAACAAAATTATTGCAACCTTATGGGGAGCTCTGAGGGATGGATCCAATCATCCAAATGGTAAGCACAAAGTGGCTGCCATAAATGAGTGAAAGACTTATTACTCCACCCATTTTTAGGTATAGCTATAGCTAAGAAGCATAACAAAATTATGCTCCAATGGAGTAAAATGACAAACAAATTCACACATAAATCTGCTTGTACTCCCTTTACCCTGCTGTCACCAATAGTTCGCAACTTTGGAATTCAAAAAGGATTTAACTAAGTCAATCGAGCCATTAAATTTTTTTCCCCATGATTTCAGAAGGAAGCAAGTTTCCAATATTGAGACAAGTATACGCTACAGTTTCCTATAATATTATATCTAACAGACAAAACAACAAAATTGTGCCACAAAATATCACAAGTCCTGATCTATAAATCATGCTATGGGAACTCACATGATCTAGTTGTTGGGCCCCCTTTAGTAGATAAATTTGGTAAGGAAATTATCCTTGATTCAAAGATTTATTTGGCCACCATATTTATTTCCTAATTGGCAACCAGGGTACATATACCTGCCTACGTGTCATTCTAGATTAACTCTTAATTATTCAGTCCATGTTAAAGCAACCAGTTTTCTTCCCTGTACATCCTAAAACAATCTAAGATGACCATGCCAAGTAAAAGGGAGAGGGGAAGGGGCACAGCTATTGGTTTTCAATGATGTTTTCTTCTGCCAACACTACTCTGGTCTAATGGTTAAAGTACATGCCAAAGTCCCAGTTCAAATCCAGTCATCCTCATATCAATGCATAAATATACATAAACCATATCTTTGTTCTAGTGCTTTTATCATTTTAATTGTCAAGAAATGCAAAGCAAACCAACAACTGTTAATGAACTTACTTTGAGTTTTCAAGAATAGGAATGCGTGCCAGAACAAACTCACAGAACAGCTCTAGTATGCCAAATGCACCCCAAATGTTCTGCTCTCGAATTACATGCTCCACCTAATTCCAAAAATGTTAACACAAAGTTAATTAAAACCATCATCAAAGTAAACAAACATACACATCCTGGCTAGAAAAACGAGCTCAAAAGGATACCCAGATTCTAGCTATAGCTTCTTGGCCAGCCTGTAAAAATTGGGCTACTCTCAGAGCATTAACAAAATTACAAGTGCATTAGGTATTGACTAACCTTCTTCTTCTCTCAGTAAAACCGAGGGCTACTCTCAAGTACTGTCTTTAATAGGATCCTCAACAGATCTGGAAATTAATAGCAGGAAGCCAGGAATCCAGAGTTAACCACCAACCAAAGCAAGCAAATCAATAATCAGGAAGCTCGACATTATCTTTCAACTATTTCTGAGCAATCAAACAAACCACTTAAACAATTTCAACACAAGTCATTTTGGACTATAGACATTTAAATTCAATCTAAATATTTATTTCCCACATGAGCAGTGCTAGGGACACTCGCCTTTTGCACTCTCCAGCCAACACTTCCCCTTTCATTGGGCAACGTAAGCTTGTTTCCGGCTTTGTAGTGCAACCTCTTTCGAACCAGAATAACGTGCCCCAATAAAAATGAAAGTGTTGGTCGGAAAGTGCAGGAGGCGAGTGCCTCAAGCACTCCTCTTCCCATAAATGTAACTTTGAGACTCGAAAATCAAGCAGAATCCTCGCTTTTTATCAGAAACCAAACAATCAAAAAACAAAAATGAAACCAGTAATAGAAAAGGTGAGCATGCACAGCCTAATGGAATCGTATAGAAACAGAGAGAGAGAGGCGACGGTACCATGGTTGACGGAGAGGAGAAAGCAAGCGGGGCTGCGGTTGGTTGCGCGAAACCCTTTGTTGTTGATGGATTAGACTGGAGAAAACGAATTTTGTAGCTGGGTTCAATGGGTTTTTGAGTTTTACCAAAATCAATTACAAATTTTGGAGATCTGTGGGGAGGGAAGCTCAGAAATAAGGGATGGAAAATGGGGAATCTGTTGAGAGGAGTATGAGTTTTAGCAGAAATGAAGCTCAAATTAGAGAGGGAAGCTCAGAAATTACTTGGGTCTACTCTATCGGGAAGGGAAGCTCAGAAATTAGGGAGGGAAGCTCGGAAATTAGGGAGGGAAATTGGGTACTCCGGCCGTGGGAAGCAAAAATAAAGAGGGAAATTGGGACTCTGTGGTGGGAAGGCCAAAATAAAGCAGACTGAAATTAAAAAGAAAAAATAAAGTGGTTAAGGAATAGGAATTATACAGACAGTGCCCTAATCCGTTTGTAAAGATGTATTTTTACAAACATATAATAATTGCCGTTGGAATAGATATACTTTATATAGACGGATAATTGTTAAATCGTTTGCACAAACTAAGTCTATACTAACGGATATATTTTTTCGTTGGTGTAGACCCAGGCCTATACTAACGGATATATTTTTCCGTTGGTATAGATCTATGTATACTAACGACATAAGTTTTTCGTTGGTATATATGATCTATACAGATGGATTTTTTATCCGTTGGTATAAACTTCCGTTGGTATAGGGTATTTTATTTGTAGTGATACTTATATTTTTTATACAAATTAATTATAAAAAATACAATAAAAATTGCACTCCACACATGTTACGAATTAATTGGCCACTTGACTGAAAGCACCTAGGTTAGAAAAAAAATAACCGATTTTTTATTAAGGATTTTTATTTATGGTATAGGTTAAAGATATAATTAATTTTTTAATATTAATTAATAAAAAATAAAAATTAATATTAATTTTATCATCAATATTACATATATAATTTTAATCAAATAATTAATTAAATAAATATCAAATTTTATCTTTTAATAAAAATTAATATTAAAAAAAATTTATTAACTTGTGACGTACGATATAAATTAAAAAAACCTTTTTATTAATATACTTAGCGCACCTGGCCAACCAGTGGTGCATTTTGCCGTGCTGCTCTTTCTTTTGGGCATTTTATTGGACAGAAAAGCTTGTGGAAAAGCTTAAAACTTGCAAACATTGCAGTAAGTGGTTCGACTTGATGGGGAAATTCAAGTGTTCATAATAACTTGTGGAAAATTCAGAAAAAAATCAATAATCTTTTCCACAAGCTTATTCCGATGTTTATTGGATAAATTCAGAAATCTAAAAAATAAGACAGTTGAGTCCTTGTTTGTTTCTGTTTCTCTTCACTATCTTCTTCTTCCTTTCTCTCACCTTATCACCCAGCCTCTTCTTTTCTCTTACATACACTCTTTTTCTCACTCACTTCATTTCCCACTTTGTCCTTCAAAGGAATACGAAAGAAGTTGTAACAGTGTGTAACTTTTATGTCACGTTGGGGCAATCAAACAAATCAAGATAGTTAATGAGATGAAACCCTACTCTCACAATTGCTACCGCAGCCTCCCCTATCTCACTAAGATGACAATTTGTCACGATTCCTATAGGGTTTTGTAGGAATTCTTACCATGGGGATGTAAAGAATTTTTTTTTTTTTGGTGGGCGGGAAGGAGAAGCATTTTCTTTTTGCAAAAATTTACAAGGAATTTTTCTTGCCACCGTGGGAATCCCCATATTCGTGAAAAATTTTAAAAATATATAAATTAATTTTATTTTAAATTTAATTTAACTTTCAAACATAAATTTAATTTAAAAAAATTTAAATTTAATTCAATTTTACCCAAGTCAACCCTAACCCATTATTAACAATTTAATCCTAACCTTACTCATCTCATCACTCTAACCTTC